AAAACATGTTTGAATGGATGGCCGGTTAGGGCTTCCGTAATCCATCTATGTATCTAGTATTTTTAAATCCTGTCTCTCATCTAATGTATTTTTCTGTTTGGTGTATGTACCTGGAGCTGCCTTAACGAGTGATTTTCCCCAGTGTGGGATCAATAAATTCTATCTTAACCGAACAGTGGTAAGAGTGATGATGAGTGTGTGAATGTTTCCTGTCTCTAACGCCGTGGTGTGTTTGTGTCACTCAGGGAAAATGCCCACTGTGGTCTCTCCAGAGCTGTACAGAGCTCGTTTCTGCGAGGCTATGGACAAATACTTCCTGATGGTACCTGATCACTGGACCGGCCTGGGCGTCAACTGCTGAGCGGTGCGTGCATGTCCAAGTGCCGTAACACAAAACACAAAGACACTCTCCTCTCGGATATCTATGCACAAAGATCCTGGACCGAGGCCTCGGTATGCGAGCGCTGTTCAACCTACCTGAGACCCACAAGCACACTGGACCTTGTAAATGTTGGAATATCATGCGGACTAAAAGCTGACCAGTATACAGCACAGTGTCATTCCACAGGAGAATTTAGATCAGTTTTATCACTGGGGACATTATCAGATCTGAAATCCTGTTTCCCAGAGGGTTTTTATTTTATCAGTGCCACAAGTCCAGCTATTTCAAGAGGGACCCCGTGACAACATTATAATGTAATTTAAAGTTTGTAAATGTACAGAGATTATGTAACTATTAAAACATCATTACCAGTGATTTAGTAAAGCTGTCGTGTGTTTTTTGTTTTTTTTGTTAATGAAGAGGGGAGAATGGATGGATACGATGCAAAGACTCTTTCAAACTGCAGTACATATCAAATATTTGGATGACCATATAACTTAAGGCAAGTGCTGAAAATTGACAATTTTGATGATGAATTAATATTAATGTCATTCATTGAGTAAAAAATCTTAAGCATTTGCTTTTTTGAGCTTCACAAATGTGAGGGTTTGCTGCGTTTGTTTTTATAATTATTATTAAATAACAAAATGTACAACACAGTTTTCCACTATGTTGTGACCTTTTATATAATAAACAATTGATTAATCTTATGAAAATAAGTTATTTGCAGCCTTGCTGGATGCAATTAAAGCTGCATAGTTGTCGCATAACAAAGGAGATAAATATTAAAATTGGACCCTTACATAATAAACTGTTTGCTAACGAGTTCAACAGGTTCATGTCAGGTTGTTGTTCAGTTTGTTTCTGCTGCCCCCAAGTGGCCAAGGAAAAAACAGTTTTTGCAGTTAAAGTCAAAACTAAAAAATTGGCTTCTTAAACTGGAACAGAGCTCCTTTTATTTATTTGAGCATAAACAACATTTGTTGTTTACAGCTTTTGCTTTTTGTTTTGTTTCATAAATTGAATATCTTTGGCTTTTATACTTTGTCAGTTAAATGTGCAGCTTGAAGGCCTCTGGGAAACGGTGAGGACCATTTTAGATCAATTAATTAATTTGTCCTCAATTTTTCAATTAATGACAAATTATTAGCTGCAGCCCCTTTAGTGGTCATTAAAGCTGCATAATTTCTCAGATTACAATGGAGAGAAACATTTGAACTGACGGCAGGTAAACTACTTTAACACTTTGTTTTGGTCTGATTATAAAAACAAAACTGCATACAGGGTTCCCACGGCCATGGAAATCCTGGAAAGGTCGTGACATTTTTAAATCATGTTTTCCAGGCCTGGAGAAGTCATGGAATTAAGTAAATTAATCTAATGTTTTGTTTTTTTTAAACAAAAATTTTCTTATCTTCATTAGCTTCAGCAGCAAGAAATAAGCTCTAATTTAATTTCTTCATGTGATCTTCTTACATTGTGGTGAACGATGGGAACCGCCTGCACATCTTAGGATTCTGTGGAAAGGGGGAGGAAAAAAAACAGCACACCCAATAACTTCAAACTGATTTTTATAATTGTACAATTTATATAAAGCAAAGGGTAGCTGACAAACAGCCCTCAGCATGTCGTACTGCATCAGGAACTGGTGTGAAAATCACCAGACACATGACGATAGCGATTGTCATGACTGGCAAATATCATTTTCTGGTAGAATAATAATACTGGCAGACAGATTCAGTCTCAGTGCTCATCAAACACTCGAGTTGTCTCCATTTTAATTAAAAACTGCAAGCAAACAGGGATCTCATTTAAAATAAGTTCATTAATAATCACACCTTGCAGTCCATTCTGAAAAGATAACTCATAAAAACGTTTTGTATTCAACCATTCAGCATGGAGACGTCACTCTTTGTGCTCAAGAGTCCTCTGTGATGGAGTTTGTTTTTTTTTTCATACAAAGCTGTATGTGTCAACATTATATACAAAAGCATTTCAATTTCATATCAGTACCTAAGCTAACACACACACACACACACACACAACTTAAAGGATGAGGCTGGAGATGTTCTATCATTTTCTTACTGTCTACATAACCAAAGAAAAGACCGAAACCAACAACAAATTAATCCTAATAAGGAGTATTAAAAGCCTGATATATGTTCTTCCTCTGAGCTTTTGTTGTTCAAAAACTATAAAAACACATTACCGGATGACATGTTCCTTCATTACCATAATAACATTTTAGATAGATTCCAGGTACTCACTAGAGCACCAAATGTGTATTAATCCGCTGAAAGGCAGAGGAAACACATTGATGGTTTTGGTCTTTTCGAGAGATTTGTTGTCAACCTGAAAAATATAGAGTATCACCAGCCTTCAAGGAGAGAAAACACAACAAGTGAGACACCATTTCACTAAAAAAAAAATAAAACTCTGCATATCCCTCACGCAGAGAAAACTTTTCATCATTCATTGTAAGACCACCCACATTATGATGACATATTAAAGAATCAGTTCACCCAAATTGCAAACAAAAAAATATTTAGCATCTACAGGTGCATGCCATAAAATTACAATATCATGGAAAAGGTTAATTCAATAAATTAAACTTTCATTTATTTTAGATTCATTACACAAAGTGAAATATTTCAGTCTTTTGTTTTTGTTTTAATTAGATGTTTACAGATTACACCTCATGGAAATCAAAAATCCAGTCTCTCGAAATGTATTTGAGGATAAAGAATTTATAATAAAGAAATGTCAACCTGAGAAGAGCTGTAATCAGCTAATCAACTCAAAACACCTGCAAAGGTTTCCTGAGCTTTTATTCTCTCAGTCTGGTTCTGGTGCTAACAATGAACTTTTCCACAATATTTTAATTTTTTTTAGATGCACTTGCTAGTCGGGCAAATAGCTTTTAGTCTTATTTGTCCAGATTTTTTAAGATTTCCACCTCTAAGATCTCTGAACCAAATCACCAATCTATCTTTCCAAAAACAATGTCCTGATTTCTCCACAGACCCGAGTACAGATTTCACAGGAGCTAAGAAAGAAAACAAACAAAAAAAAAAGGGTCACAAGTGCCTGAGCGGCTCGATACCAGTAGGGTTCTTGATTTTGGTGAGCTGATCCTTTAATTATGAGAACATTAAAATCTACTAACATAAGATTTGTTGTAAAAGAAAACAAAAACGAATCAACATCAAGGCACTGGACACGTTCGAGACAATGGCACAAAGCTGGTAGGTAGACAAACAGAGGGGAGGAGGGGGAGGAGAGAAAAATGGTCAAGGCCCTGTGTTATTTTACATTTAAGTGCTGGCAGTATTTGTACCATCATGTAATATTTAATAAATACCACACCGAACTGAGGACACCTAAAATAGCTTTTCATCATTTCAGAAATTTGGTCTTTGCGGAGAATCTAGGCTTTCATGATTCAACGTTTAGAGCTGCCCAGGTGGGATAAGGCTGGTCACCATTGGCTGGTCAGGGAAGGAGAAATACAGAGTCAAAACAGCGCAGGAGGCCGATCTAGGCCAAAGGATTAAATGCATAAATAATCCACATCTGCACAAACCCTGTGTTCATCAGTGGCTACATCCAAATTCCCTTATTTCATTGGTCGTTGTGAAGGATGTCCCAATTCACTTATTTCTGCTGGAGCCATGAGACTCGCCTTTGTGGTAGTCAAACCCTTTGTTACCGGGACAAATAACAGCTACTGGACTGAAGTGTAATGTAAGTCCCATGAAGGGAGCGGTTCTGATAGCTGCTTACGTTTTACATCCCAGATCTGTGAAGCTCCGACTCTATTGAATGTCTTTTTAGTATCTCTTAAATTTAATAAATTAAAAATCTCTTTTCATACAAAAGTTTCAAAAAGCAGTGGAAAATGCATAGCAGATTGTCCGCTTCTCTCTCTTTTTTTTTTCAAATAAAACTAGAGCTGGTTACATCAGCTGTAGATAATTAAAGGTAATTCTGTTAAAATTAAAGTTTGTGCTCTTTGCATTCAGACAAAGATTGTGAAGTTTAAAGATGCATCACTCTGTAACAGCACAGTACAACTGTGTTTCTGTAGTTCAACAGGTACCGGCAGAGTGGACACTCTTCTCATGATCACCTCACAGCTGTTCACGGATCTCCCAGTTTAACTTGGATTCATATCAGATCAATATTTTAATCAGATCAGTACTTCCAGTAAGAAGTAAGCAAAGCAGTACAACATATATTATATCATGCTTGTTGTCTTTTCAGGTTGTGACCATTACTAAAGAGGTGGTGTTCTGCTTTTTGGCTTTTCCCATTCCTTTATTGAGTTATATACCTTTTTTGTGTGAAAGTGAAAAAGCTCAAAGTCCAGCCCAGAGGGAGATCTCCCACAGAAAACTCTGCTCTGAACTGCCTGAAAGCAGCACGTTTGTAGTCCAGCCGTTTCCGTTCCTTCACTGTGACATCACAGGGATGAATTTTTTTGAAAATGAAACCATGTAAACCTGTTCTGGTACAACCCCTAAATAAGATTTTGAACCTGAAAATGAGCGTAATACCACCTCTTTAAGTTGCCACTAAAACTGTTTCTGCCTTCTCGGCCATCAAAAAGGCGATCAGACATCTTTGAGTTATTTAATAATGAACTTACAAACAGAATATCAGTAAATCCAGACACAAATAATGACTAAAAATCCTGTCTTTTCCTGAATCTCTTCGAGCCAGTGAGGGGAAACGGGGACTCAATTAAGGGAACTGAGATGCACCCACTGTGTCACATCCTCTTTCCATGTTGAATATTTAAACTACTGAATATCTTGCGCACTTTGAATTCCAGCCAAAGTTCATCAAAACCTAAAAGCAAATTCCATTTTGTGCTTTAGTTTGCAGTTTAAAAACAAGCTCTACGTACCTGCTTGTGTGACCTTTCAGTACGTGTTAATTATTTATGTGTGGAAGTCCAATATTTGGTACAACAAGCCAAAATCATAAAAGGTTAAAATTACACTTAGCTTTCTTAATAGTCTACTTCATTTTGTACAAACAGTTTAAAATGGCTTTTTTTTTAAGACAAAACCAGTCTCAGAGGCGAGCTGCTAGGCCATGCAGAGACTAAGTACCGAGGTCGGTTTGGATTTAAGCACCCGTGAGTAGAAAGAACAAACCGTGGTGTAAGTTAACACAAGCATGCAGACCCAAACCATGGCTGATCCAGATCGAGTTCTTCTTCTTCTGCAGCCACAGCTTCATGGAGCAAAATACTCGGCTGCAGTAATCGGTCCAGGACCTCCAGCCTGGTGTCACAGGAGGGGCCCACATGAAGATACAGGCCCTGCAAGCTGTGTCACAACCAAGTCTCTACCCTTCTCCCTCAAGAGTGCACGTTACAGAATAAAACCGCATCATTCCTGGAAAGGGGGGGTGGGGGGGGTTACAAGTTCAGGTGCACAGTTCGAGGTAGGAGGGCAGAGAGTCTGTTAAGAAGGGTCAGAAGGTTTCCGAATCCTCAGAGTCGTTCTCGGTGGTTCCCTCACTGGAGGGTCCAGAGGGGTTCCTGGGGCTGCGAGGCCCACGTGGGCCGGTGCCCAGGCCTTTACCCCCTTGGTGGGGCAACTGCCTCAGCAGGGAGCCTGGGGAGGGAGCCCCGGAGCTGCAAGGGGAGCAGAAAGGCATCATGGTAGCCAGAATGAGAGCCAGACAGTCAGCTACCTCTCTGCTAGGAGCACAAGCCAGAGCAGGCGTCAGACCTGAGGTAGAGAGACAGAGAGGGGAGGGAGGGTGGGGGCAGAAACAAAAGAGGGAAAGGAAGAGGAGGAGAGCGAGAGACGTGGACGAGGAGGAAGCGGGGAAGGCGAAGCAGGAGCAGAAGACAAAGGAGGGACGGAGCAGCATTCCATTAGTGTTCAGCCAGCTGACACAGTCCCCAAACACAGCGTCGAGGGGGGGGTCAAACCGAGCACAGGGACGACCACAGCTGACGACTGGCGCTACACAACATCTGATACAAAGCAAACAAGCAGCTAGGATACAGTTTAAATTAGGGTTCCCACTGTCGGTCCACTGACAACACTTTTAAACCTTTCCGACCCACTGCTTGAATTATTTTACACATCAGTCTGTTTACAGGTGTTGCATCTCTGAAAAAAAGTTAGCATTTAGGGACTTCAGAGGAAAGGAAAACAAACAAATTTGAAAATGAAAAAATCTGTTGGTGTGGAGTTACAAAGAAGTGAGCTCATCAGACCTCTGTAGCCCGCTGCTCATCTCTGCTGCAGGCTACTGGCTGCAAGCATAACACACCCAAATCTCCAGATGTACTGGCTGCGGTCAAGTAACATTGTGAGTAATGTAGGCACCAGCTATTGACAAGAAGAATGTGTGGAATCAAAAAAGACTATATCTCTGGTACTGCTGCATTGATTTTAATATATATATATATATAGTTTTTAAAGGTCCATTGTGAGTCAATGAATTTGAATTTGGTTTTCATGGATTTATAATGTTGCTGGACGGCCTCGGCCAACCATGAAACGCATGCCCTCGGTTTCAGTGAATTACCTTTGTTGCATGTTGTTCCACATCCCTGCCTTCATGTCACCTCTTTACTGTCGCCATCAAATAAAAGGCAAAAACTGGTGGAGCGTCATCAATTGTCCTATTTGTAAAAATAGTCTAGTTTCTAAACTTCCCAAGAGAAATGAATGCCTGAGATGTTTTCTTGATGATTCCATGCTATTCCACAAATTCCAAGACCAGTGGGAACCCTTTTTGAAGATTCATTTGCAGCACACATGGAAAATCATATTAAAACTATTAATTTGTCAAATTGAGCTCATGCTGGAACAGAAAAAAACACATCCATGCTGAACAATGACCAGAGCGTGCATCTTGCGCCTGTTAATTGCCTGGACCAGGTTCCGGACCAGGTTCACCCTACCGTTCTCATCCACCGTCTGAACGTTGGCTCCTCGGGACAGCAGCTCCTGGACTGCCTTCTTCAGACCGCTACGAGCCGCCAGGTGGAGAGGACTGGCAGAGACAGAAGGTTTATTAAAGTAACGTAAAGAAGTCTGAAACATACGACCATATGTTCTTTCTCTCTATAGATCATCAATTTCAGGGAATTTGAACACTTCTTTTTGTTTTGGACAGAGGTTTTGGATACTCACGTCTGCAGCGCTGCATTTGTGGCATTTATAAGCGCAGTGTCTGACAGCTTCTGCAGCATGAACATCACACAATCTTCCTTTCCCTGAACGGAGAAGACGTCGGGTTATAGCGAGCAGAGACAAAGGCCAGAACCACAGCGCCACCCTCAGAAGCTGTTTTAATCGTTATTTTCACAAGAGTGTGTCATATGTAAGGGTTCACTGAGCCTACAGAGACTTATCAGCTGAATCTGCAGCTCCCCTCGGCTGGTCGATATAACGTTATAATATATTTCTTTATCATTTCTGTTCCTGTTTTAACGTATGTAAGTGCTGTGTACGACTCCAGTTGAACGCCACACTCCGGGCAGACACTGGGATTAAGACAAACAACAAATAAAATGGAGGGTGGACACTTACATTACTGCAAGCTAGATGCAAGGCGGTGTTGCCGTCTTTGTCCGTCAGACTGAGGTTGGCATTGGCGCTGGTCAACAGCACCTCTGGAGCACAAGACAGAATCAGAGCCATGTTCACACACACACAATCAAAAGCTGCTATGTAGTTCTAAATGTTATAAAACAATGTAAACACAGTGCAGTGTTGAAGCTATAAGCAGAGTACAAAATGTCTCCGTACCGAGGGCTCCGACTCTGCCCTTCTCAGCCGCCATCATCAGTGCAGTGCGGCCTGATTGGTCTACAGCATCGACAGCTGCGTCGTGGGACAGGAGCAGCTGGACACAGTCGACGTGGCCCGAGAATGCTGCGGCATGAAGAGGAGTCCTGCAGGCGGGAGGGATGGGAGAGGAAGGAATGAAAACAGAAGATACAGCAGAGCCGAAAGAGTGTTATGGTGTCAACACACACACACACACACACACACACACACACACACACACACACACACACACACTTACCTGTCCTTAGCGTCTTTGCAGCCAGCGATGTCTGACCCCATCGCCTCCAGCAGCAGCGATGCACACGGCTCGTGATCGTTCACCCTGTGAGTTTAAACACACGGAAATGAAGGTCTGTGACATCCCAGTACTGTTCCATATAAAACTATCTACTTTTCACCGTGTAATGCCTTTTAACGGTTAACTTTATGTTGCTGCTTAATGTAGATCCAGAGCAGCAGGATATTTAATGATGCTTAAGGCTAAAAATATCAGTGTTCCTTTTGAATACTAGAAAAGGCTGAAAACTTGATGAAAAGACGGTATAATAAGCAGCTCTTTAGCATTTCTTTTCACTTTCTGTAGCATTTCCTGAGCTGTCCTCACCACTGTTCATGGCTACAACAGGGTAGTCAGGGTAATCATTTATCAAGCAAGAGTTACTAATATTTGCTATTTCAAGCTGTTCTAATGTGAGGATTTGCTTCTTTTTCTCTGAAGTGTCTCACTGAACTATCTTTGGAATTTGGACTTTTGGTCCCATAAAGCAAAAAGAAGTTGACCGGCATTGATCGCAATTTTATAGACTAAACTTTTATGAAAACAATTGATAAAAGGATCATTAATTAGAGTCTTAGTATCGCCACAGTTTTAAACCCGTTTAAAACTATCTACAATTTTCAGGAAAAACCTGTAAAAACTACGACCAATAATCAATAATAATGTTGAATGTGTGTGTGTTACTTACACAGCACAGTGCAGAGGGGTGAATGGGTTCCCATCAATACAACGACAACCCTTCTGCTCCAGCAGAACCTCCACACACCCCTCGTGACCTACAAACACAAACACACACATGGAGTATTGGAAAAGATCATCAACACGTCATCACACTTTACTACTATAATATAATAAAAACAAAATATGCAGATTTATTCATTCTGATAAAAGATAATAATAATGATCGGAAATGAATAAATCTATAAAAACAATGTGTTCAGTTGAAGACCAACTTCTGTTTACTGTATGTCCCTCTCCAAATCTCTTACAAGCTTTAAATGTGGGTCTTTGTCAGAATGTCTGTTTCAGAATAAGCAGGACTGTCTGAAAATGAAGATTTATTTGATGTGAATAATAACAGTCAAGGTTTATAATTGATTATGTACACATGAAGAATTTTGGTTCGCCCAGAAAACAAAAAGTTAAATGTTAAAATGCATTTTCTGTGAGGTTTCAAGTGAAACTGACAGGAACTATGAGCTCATGACGGTCTCAACCAATAAATAACACAGTGACAACAGTCCACAACCCACTACTGCTGTATATCTGAATGAAAGCCCGACACTGACCGTAGTAGCAGGCCCAGTGCAGCGGCGTGTACCCGCTGTGGTCCCTCAGCGGGGGCAGCGACGGCGGCTCGGAGCAGGCAATGCTCAGCAGCTCGCTCAGCCAGGAGGCGTGGCCCCGGGCCGCGGCCAGGTGGATGGCAGTACGACCTCGCATGTCGCCGAGCAAAATGGAGGCTTCCTGCTCCAACAGACACTGGATGCACTCCTCCTGACCACACAGCAGCTGGGGGGGGGGGGGGGGGGTTATGAGAACCGTGTTTAGTTTACAGTATTATTAAGCATTTTCTAAAGCATAACACGTGTCTGAAGGTTTATTTCCTGATGTCTAGGAAGCTACTAATATCTGTGAGATATAAAAGAGAAAAATATTTTTCTTTCCTTTTGGTCCATTGAAAAAATGCCTAGATATGATCATCCAAAATAAAAGACTAAGAATGACTCTGGAACAGCAGGTAATTGTAATTAATGTGCTAAAATGAGAAAAACACTGGTCCTGTTATAGTATTTTAAATGTTGCCATGGGAAGCAGACAGCAGGAGAAATTGAGCACATTGAATGAAAGTACAAATTGTAGTGTAAAACATAAAAGTCCCGCTGATTTACAGCAGTCTACCAAATCAAAATAGATAAACAAACTATGTGACAGAAATTAAATCTACCTGAAAATAAATGTACTGATAAATAACTAAATATAACTGATAATAATGTGGTTGATTTATTTATTCTGAGTAAATTCAGATTGGTTAGAGGTTCATAATGTCAGCAATTTGGTTTACTGTCCAAATGAACAGAGACGTGCACATGTAAGACATCAATTTATTATAATGAAACACAGATAAATATAATTGTTCTGGTGGCACTCTAGTCTCAGAAAAGGCAAGACAGAAAGAGGAAGTGAGAAAAACAGAAAGACAGTGAGACCTGAAGGGCTTTTCATAGTGTTTAATGCTCACCCCGAGGTGCAGCGCAGTGAGGCCGTGGTTATTGGCCACGTTGACGTTTGCTTCCCTCTCCAGCAGCAGCGACACGGCGTCAACGTGACCTCCAGCTACCGCCAGCATCAGAGGAGTCCTGCAGACGAGGACGAGGCGGAGGATGTGTGAGAGAAAGACGGGACACATCGAAAAGACTGGAATAGATGAGGAAAAACTGAACGGGAAGGGGAAAAAACACTGCAGAATAAAATAGGATCACTTACTGTCCCTGAGAGTCAGCAGCATCTATGAGGTCGGCACTGTCCGATTCATCCAGCAGGAGGCGCACACATGTCGTGTGGCCGTTCATCACTGGAGGAAGGAGGGTGTGACAGCAAGAGAGCAGAGCGACAGGAAAGTTTATGAATAATCAGTTAGATGACACATCAGTTCATAGTGATCAGATTGCGATGAAGGAAATAAGAACCACAAACGTTAAAAGAGCAAGTAGTGAGAAACCAACTCTAATCTTAGTTTGTGTGAAAATACTGTGAAGGGCGGACGATACTGCAGCTCTGAAGCTGTGAACCTGTGAACAGTTTCAATACGATAAGCTTGTGTCAAATAAAGAAAACATTGTGACTCAAAAAGAGCTTCAATCACACTGACAGTTCATTTCCACCTGATACCAAGATATGGTATTATATTAATCCCTAATCGCCTCATTGCAACTCATGAAATGTCAAATACCGACCATGACGTTAAAACACATGAGCCCACAGCGCAGGAAAGGCACATTTCACATTTTGTGGCTTTTTGGGGCATTTACTAGTTATTTTACTGCAGCACTGCACAACAATGTGTAGTAACATGTGGCTTGTTGGACTGCTCACATATGAGATTAAATCAAACATCCTTCAAGCCTGGAGCCAAAGGTGTTGTAGAGCTTTGGCTCCAGGCTTGAAGGACTGAGTTTAAAGCCCCAAAGCAATTTTAAATAAATTTAACTATTTTTAAAGGTGGATTATTTGAGTAAAGTTTAAGTTGGGGAAGAAGAAATGCACCTCATGGCCGAAAGTATGGAGACACCCAAACATTAAATCCATATGTGATTGTTAAACATCCATGAGCATTAATCTGCTGCAGTTTAGAGCCTCCACTCTTCTGCGTTCAGGCTTTCCACCAGATGTTGAACCAGCTGCAGGGATTTCGACCCATTCAGACACGTGACCATTAGCAAGGTCCAACCCCGATGCTGGGTGATCAGGTCTGGCCCACAGTGCTGTTTCAGTTCATCCCAAAGGTGTTTCATGAGGTTGAGGTCAGGGCTCTGCGCAGGCCGGTCAAGTTCTTCCAAACCGAACTGGGAAAACCATGTCTTTATGGAGCTGGGGTTTATGCACAGGGGCGTTGTCATGTTGGAACAAGAATGAACCTTTCCCCAAACTTTAAACACAAAGCTAGAAGCATGTAGTTGTTTAAAATATCATTGTATTTTGTTGCATTAAGATTTCACTTAAGGGAAACTGGTCCAAACCATGAAAAACAGCCCCAGAAACATGGAACACATGTGTCCACATACTTTTGGACATATCAGACTAGATATGTTTTGATACCAGATGTAAACAGTGGCACAGAAATGTGATTAAAATCATTTGAACAATATGAGATTGAAACTGAGCCCACCTGCCAGGTGGACGGGGTTGCGTCCGTGCTGGGTGTCGGTGGAGCGCGGCGACGCCCCCTGGCTGAGGAGGGTGTGAACACAGTCAGCGTGACCCCGGAGAGCGGCCAGAGCCAGGGGAGTCCTCCCTGCCTCATCCCCCTGGTCCACCTCCCTCTCCCCCTGCAGCAGTACCTCCAGGGCCTGAGCGTGGCCGTGGTATGCCTGCACAGAGACAGAGACCCTTTAAAATAACACTTCAAAGAGTGGCGTCACGCAGGGAAAAACCAAAGGGCTGTAAAGACGAATATAATTCATTATAGCTATTTTGATATTCTTTCTTTGGTAGCATCTTACTGATAAAATGGTTTTCAAATGAGAATTAATTAACATATAACCTATTAAAAATCTTTTTAACCTACATATCTACAGAAAGCAAATCCTTAAATCAAGGTACGCTGGTTTCTTATTTGTGATGATGAGAAAACGCAAAGGATAATTTGTTTATTACAACTTGGATATTATGGCTTTATTCATCATTGTCTGTTCTCTTACTTGCAATATTCTTTCGTGTCCTTTGTTTGTGTTCGTCTCAACTGTTTCTGGTTGTTTGGTTTGCACTGATTAGCACCACCACTCCGAATGTCTTTGTATATTTTGTACAATTACAAGGCTTCTATTCTAATCCATCAGCTATGATAACACTGACACACAACATTAACAATCAAACAGGCTATAAACAAGCAAACAGTTTAGCCAGATTATCTAAACCCTTTATGTATTAGTTTATTTATGTGGAACAATGCACATTGCTGTGAATGTGCCATAGTTAGAAACAATGTTGTTTTTCATTTGTATTCAGATGTTACAAAGTCACTGTAAAAAACAGATTATTTTAACTTTCTTTGGGAGGTGAAACAAAAAGTGAGTGGACCCGAACTGTCTGTGATAATCCCCCATCGCACAGGAGCACAGGTGCACATTGTTCGTGTTTCTTGTCCCATCTGACTTCTTTTTAGAAATATCACTGTTCCAAGTAACTTGCGTTGAGTACACGTTATAACAACAGACAGAAACAAGGGCCAAACCTAAATAAAAGTTTTAATAGTTAGAATTATCCTTCAAAAAAAAGACAAAGACAAATTACTGAGATAATACTGTAATACACAGTATGGAACCTCAGTACACGCATCTCTGGTCAGATTCATAGTCTTGTTTACTTATTGACTGATCAGTTCCTGATTTGAACATTTTGCCAGACAATTACATTTTAAAATTAACATTTAATATTTAAGAACTTTGTACTACCTGGTATTACGTCCATCAAAAAGTACATGTGTAATACAGTAACATATCATGCTATCGTGTGATTTGTGTGTTTCATGTTCTTATATCCTGGTGGGGTTGGGCGTGTAGTTGTGGTGGTTAGGGTTAGGGGTTAGGGAATGCATTATGTCAATGAGATAGTGGAACAAAGGTGTGTGTGTGTGTGGGACTCACGGCGAGGTGCAGCGGGCTCCGAGCGTTGTGAGATTCAGGGTCGTCTTGGTGACTGTCGTCCCTGTCCAGCAGCTGCAGGTCACAACAACACACATATAACCAGTGGAGGATGAAGTACTCAGACGTTTTTATTGCAGAAGTATTATCAGCAAAATGTACTTCAAGTTTAAAAAGCAGAAGTACTCGTTAATACTGATAAGCAGCATTTTACTGTTATCAGTTGATAATTTTTAACTACTTTATATACAGTTGGGACCAGTGGTTCCCAATCTAGGGGTCGGGCCCCTCCACAGGGTCACAAGATAAATCTGAAGGTAAGTACGATCAATATGGGAGAGATAAAAAGTAATTTTTGGGGCTTTTGCTTTACTTTTTTTTTTTATGAGCGTTTACTTTTCTGGCCTAAAACAAGAGCAAAAAAATATTTTTCAAGGGGAAATTACTCCATTTGTGAAAGTGAAAAGGGCCCAACTAGACACCGCTGTTTTGTAATAGTCACAAGCCTTAAACATTGGGAACCAATAGTTTAATCTTAAACACTGCAATGTATTTTATTAACTTATACATTTATTTTGTGAAATCTTAATATTAAAGAAACTGTCAGATAAATGCAGTGGAGTAAAAAGCCCAATAGTAGTGGAGTGGTAGTATAAACTAGCATTAATTGGAAATACAAGTGCCACAAAGTACATATTATATATGTACTTATTCTCCACCGCTGTTTAACATGAAACCTACTCAAATATACTGTATCAAAATGTAATGGCACTGTTTGCCAAAGATCTCCTTAAATATTTTGACTCAGGATCGACGCTGTAACAAGAGACAGAAACCTGGAATGTCGATATGATCAAACAACAGAGAAAACGCCTGCAGTCACGACACAAGAACACAACTATTTCTTCCGTGTGTGTGTGTTTGAACTGACCAGCTCCAGACAGTGCCTGTGTCCGTAGGCTGCAGCGTAGTGAACGGGACTGTAGCCCTGTTTGTCTTTCAGAGAGGCCGTCGCTCCGCTCTGCAGCAGGAACTCTAAACATCTGGAACACAAACTTTCATTTTAAGACAGTAACTCACAAACACAACAAAGCTAACATGGACTGAACAAGAGCTGAATAGTGGAGAGACAACATCAGAAAGAGTGCGTGAGCCGGTTAAAGGTCTGGATGATGTGTGCAGATGTATGCAAAGGTTATTCAAACCGTACACAGAGTTTACGTGTGATAGTGTGTGCAGTTCCTCATGTTTGTGTGCACAAAGAGAGAACGGGCCTGTTTCATACAACCATAGCACATGAAAAGAGACAGAATTTTATTTCATTTTGGCAACAAATCCAAGACCAAAACCAACAACATGTTAGTTCGTCTTTCAGTAGTTCACTTCCCTACCATGTGTAGTACATGTGGCACTCAGCCTCAAGCCCATTGGCTCCTTTGAAGACACATACTTTTTACAGATGGCTCCCAAATATATAGTTTAATTTTTTTAAAAGGCCATTTTTTAGCAATTGTTACTCAAACAGGAGGAAATAGTTCATTTTTTGGGATCTATTTTCAACAGCGGATGAATCCACATGTGGAGCTTATGTGAGTATTTGGGGCAGCAGGTTGGTGTATGTGGGACTGAGCCAAAAATAAACAGTGAGTGTGTTCATGGTGATGAAGGAACACAAGCTCGCTGATGGTTTTAGTCACTCAGAAACTGTCAAATCTGCTTAAAATGATTTACTTTAAAAAAAGGACAGCCACATTTGTTTCTCTAATGATAATACAAATAAAGCTTTAAACTTAATTCTGTCACTTTCTCTGTGTTTTGTGCATAATTATAAGCTGGTTAACAGTGTGTAGTGTGCCATATAAAGTGGGAAGAACAAGTATTTAATACACTGCTGATTTTGCAGGTTTTCCTACTTACAAAGCATGTAGAGGTCTGTAATTTTATCATAGGTACACTTCAACTGTGAGAGACGGAATCTAAAACAAATATCCAGAAAATCACATTGTATGATTTCAAAATAATTAATTTGCATTTTATTGCATGACATAAGTATTTGATACATCAGAAAAGCAGAACTTAATATTTGGTACAGAAACCTTTTGTCGAGGGTTTGGGTTGGTTGGGTGGTTTTTCCAGTTGTTTCCTATGTTTTTATGTAGTTCTGGGTTTCACTTGTGTTCTGGTTTTGTATTCTTGTGTTTAGTCTTTCATGTGTGGGGTTTTGTAGCCTAGGTTATTCTTTTGTTCATTCGCATGTTTTATTGACTTAGTCTTGTCCCTTATCTTAGTTTTAGTCCTGCATTTTAGTTCTGTTTTATTCTTCCTGGTCTCTTGTCATTTGTTCTGGTTTTTGTCCACTTGTGTGTGTCTTGTCCATGTCATCTGGTTCCACATTTTGTGAGGGGTTGGTTCTTGTGTCCAATTTCTATTTGTTTGTATGCCCTGTCTGTTCTCTCCTTGTCTGTGTCTTAGTCCTTAGTCCCATGTCTCCATGTTTGTGTTTTGTTCGGCATGCAGTTGTTTTTATGTTTTACATGCTCTGTCCTTGTTTTAGTTTGTAGTTTCTGCTCCTAGTGTGTGTTGTCATGTTTTACTTCCGGTGCTTGTCTCTGATTGTTGAAGTGGGTTCACCTGTGTCTAATTAGTTACTCCCTCATCTGTGTATATAGTGGTTGTCTGTCTTTCACTCCTTGCCAGTTCATTGTTGTCGTCGTCATCATGTGTTCTAGTCTAGTGGTTCAGACGCCAGAGTTCTCCAGTGTTACTCATGCCTCACTTTGGATTTACTTTCAGTTGGATTATTCAACGGTTGTGTTTTAGACTGCTAATACCACCTCACCTGTAAGTTTCACTGTGTGCTCCAATAAACCTCACTCATTCACCAGTACCTGCTCAGTGTCTGCATTTTGGGTCCAATCCTCTGTTCTCCATGTTCAGCCTGGCAGCTGATTTGAACCCTTTGTTTGCAATTACAGAGACCATACGTTTCCTGTAGTTCTTGACCAGGATTGCACACACTGCAGCAGGGATTTTGGCCCACTCCTCCATACGGACCTTCTCCAGATCCTTCAGGTTTCGGGGCTGTCGCTGGGCCGCACGGACTTTCAGTTCCCTCCAAAGATTTTCTATTGGGTTCAGGTCTGGAGACTGGATAGGGCCACTCCAGGACCTTGAGATTACGGAGCCACTCCATAGTTGCCCTGGCTGTGTGTTTCGGGTCGTTGTCATGCTGGAAGACCCAGCCACGACCCATTTTCAATGCTTTTACTGAGGGAAGGAGGTTGTTGGCCAAGATCTCACAATACATGGCCCCATCCATCCTCCCCTCAATACGGTGCAGTCATCATGGCCCGTTGCAGAAAAGCATCCCCAAAGAATGATGTTTCCACCTCCATGCTTCACGGTTGGGATGGTGTTCTTGGGGTTGTACTCATCCTTCTTCTTTCTCCAAACACGGCGAGTGGAGTTTAGACCATAAAGCTCTATTTGTGTCTCAGACCACATGACCTTCTCCCATTCCTCCTCTGGATCATCCAGATGGTCATTTGCAAACTTCAGACAGGCCTGGACATGCGCTGGCTTGAGCAGGGGGACCTTGCGTGTGCTGCATTTTAATCCATGACGGCGTAGTGTGTTACTAATGGTTTACTTTGAGACTGTGGTCCCAGCTCTCTTCAGGTCATTGACCAGGTCCTGCTGTGTAGTTCTGGCCTGATCCCTCACCCTCCTCATGATCACTGATGACCCACGAGGTGAGATCTTGCATGGAGCCCCAGACCGAGGGAGATTGACCGTCATCTTGAAATTCTTCCATTTTCTAATAATTGCGCCAACAGTTGTTGCCTTCTCACCAAGCTGCTTGCCTATTGTCGTGTAGCCCATCCCAGCCACTTTTATCCCTGATGTCCTTACACAGCTCTCTGGTCTTGGCCATTGTGGAGAGGTTGGAGTCTGTTTGAGTGTGTGGACAGGTGTCTTTTATACAGGTAACAAGTTCAAACAGGTGCAGTTAATACAGGTAATGAGTGGAGAACAGGAGGGCTTCTTAAAGAAGAACCAACAGGTTTGTGAGAGCCAGAATTCTTACTGGTTGGTAGGTGATCAAATACTTATGTCATGCAATAAAATGTAAATTATTTAAAAATCATACAATGTGATTTCTGGATTTTTGTTTTAGATTCCCTCTCTCACAGTTGAAGTGTACCTATGATAAAAATTACAGACCTCTACATGCTTTGTAAGTTGGAAAACCTGCAAAATCAGCAGTGTATCAAATACTTGTTCTCCCCACTGTATGCCAAAATGCCATTTATTTCTTGATCTCTTCATGTTTCTTTCAGTGTGGACTTACAGCGCTGCCTCTTTCTCCTTCTCTGCCTGAACTCCTTCACTCTCTGGCTCCAGAGCAACACGACGCCTGTAAGGGGGAGACAACACACACTCAAACAACAGCCTCTTTTATACGTTGGCACCAACTAAAGCCAACAAGTTGAGTGGATAACTAGTGGATACTGGCTGCCAATCCTGGAGGTCATGCATGACCATCAGAGAGGAGTGGACCATCAGGTATGTACGTATGTAGTAACAGCAGACCGCTGTTTTTGACAGCCCAGATTTTCAGTGTGGCACCAGAGAAGTGGTGTGAAGAGGTTTCAGATTTCCAACCTTCTCTCCTTGCAAGATTATCAGTAAGACGATTTAGAGGAATCTTAACTTGGAAACAACAAATGATCAGGAATAGGGGGGCTGTTACTATACGTGATGGTGTAATGTGCCAGCTCACCTCCTGTCCAGGTCCGAGGCAGCGGCGTAGTGCAGAGCAGAGCGCCCCCACTGGTCAGTGGCGTTGATGGCAGTGCCACAAGCAACCAGAGTCTCCAGACACTGATAGTGACGGCTGGCAGCCGCATAGTGGAGCGGGGTCCTGGGAAATAACAGGAAGAGAGAAAGTCAGGCAAATGACCATTAATAAAATGATGCATTGAGTAGCAGACAATTAAGGAGAAATGCCCCACAGGCACGCTCACCTACACCCATTCACATACACATACACAAATAAGGACTGCCAAAACCACATTCTGCCCTGGGTTGTTTTTCTGCTCTCTCTTTGCTGTAGCTGCTGTGCAAACTGAATCCCTCACTTGTTATCAATATTTTAAAACATTTTAATTAAACTCCACTATTTAGCATTTATAAGCAGTATACAAACATTTAATGTATAATATAGTTGTAAGCAGCCTAAGGGATATTTTCAGGTGTTTATTGCACAGTATTTGTCAATCACTATATTTTTTTCTATGAAGACTAAGAAGATTTTCTATTATTATATTGGAGGAGTTATAGTGGTTAACAAATACATTAATAAACATTAACAGTATATCTGCTTACAAATACATTGTACTGCATTATAAACTATTTATTAAATGTTTGCCCTATATATAAATGCTACAAAAGGGGACTTTGGTTACCATTTAATATAAAATGTCATAAAATAGTGGGGGGAAAATCGATCCCAATTTCCAGACCACAAACTGACATATTCAAACGACTTGTTAGTTCGACAATCCAAAACCCCCAAAAATTCCATTTCCAATTGAATAAAACAGAGAAAATAAACAAATCCTTGATTTTGAGATTCTGAAACACAGAAAAAGGACTGTTGGACTGCATTCTCAAAATTATCGTCAATTTGTTCTACTAATCTACTACAATTAAATCGGCTTATAACACTCCTGTAAATTTTAATAAGGAAAGTGTCACCTGGACAGTTACGTGTTCTCTCACCTTCCGCAGTTATCTCTCCTGTTATGGTCTCCACTGCTGCTCAGGAGCAACTTGACACAATCCACATTACTGCAAACAGAGAGCAGGTAGAGGGGTACAATTACTGCAAACCATTCAGACAGTAGGGCTTTAAGGGTTAAAACATGGATCCTTAATAAAAGGAAATAAATGTTGCTTAAACAGATAATACCTTCCAGTTTACTACAACTAGGGTCTCATTGTACTTGAGGAGATGTAGGAATATGGCAACATCATTAAAAAGAAGTCAAAGGCAAGAAACACAATCAGTCAGACGCTCAGGTAGCCAAAATGAAGGTGAGAGTAAAATTATAATTACCCAAACCTACAGTTGTAAAAATCAATCAGTTTACAAGCTTCATACTTGCTGTATATTTGCATTCTCAGTTTTTCAGATTAAGATAACTGTATGAGATGAGTGTACTTTTTCACCACATTTATACCTGGTATTAAAATGTGACCTGTACCCAGAAAGTTATCAGGATAATAAACAAACCGAACTGTGTTTACACCTGGTATTTTTAATGCCTTCTTGTTCTCCCCTGTTGTAAATTCAACGAATGTAATACAGAAGTTATTCTTTTCTTTGTATAAAAAAAGATTTCTTGTGTTGCAGTACCAGCGTGTAAGCTACTCTGTCACATAAATAATATGCCTTGTTAACAGCAGATCCGCTGCAGAGATGAGTGCATCGCACACTGTCATACACAGTTGTTATTGCCTACAGTATATCATTCATTTCCCACTTACTGCTTTAATTTTCTTTAATTTTCTCTTCCTCAACCAGATAATCATTTTAATGCCAGGTGTAAATGGGGTGTTTGTTTCACCTATAAATAAAGTGGTTTAATCTGAATAAACTGTTTCAGTTGTTTTCTTGCCCCATCATAATACTGGTGTTGTTATTGACACATCTAGACAAGAACTTTCCTTTAAGGCATTTTAAACCTTTTTAAAGAGATGTATGCCCTATAATGAGCTCACCCTCCAGCGGCAGCAGCGTGCAGGCAGGTCCTCCCCAGACTGTCAGGAGTGTCTATCTGGAAGCCTGCGGACAGGACCGAGTCGTTACACATTATGCTAAACCTCCGACCTGAAGAGGGCAGCGCAGGGAGACGGAGGGAGGCCAGACAACACACAGCAGCAGCAGCAGCAGCCACCACCACAGAGAGAGACAGGCAGGAAGAGGAGGAGTTGGAGAAAAAGACAGGTGTAAGTGCAACATGTGAGAGGGAGAAGGTTAGGTGAGAGTGCAAGATGCTGGTCGTGCAAACACAGGAAAACACAAATGTCTGTAAGCTATGAGAGAGCTAACGAGGCGTCAGAAGGTCACAAAGACATGTCTCCTATTGATAAATAGGATCAGCAAAGGAAGACATTTTTGAGAGAAAGTGCAGCAAGAAGTTCAGTTTGAATATCTATCATGTTCATTCGGCTTTGACCCGTTCACAGTTAAAGACATTATTTTGCAACCCAAACCTTTTTCAGCACCACAACATTTTTGACCTGTACCCAGAAAGTTATCAGGATAATAAACAAACTGAACTGTGTTTACACCTGGTATTTTTAATGCCTTCTTGTGCAAGGTGTCAATGGTCGTCTTTTGGACAGCTGTCAAGTCAGCAGTCTTCCCCATGAGCAACTTTTCAATGCCTTCTTGTTCTCCCCTGTTGTAAATTCAACAAATGTAATACACCTTTGGCCATGTGTGCAGGTGCCAAGTCCTGTTGGAAAATGAAATCTGCATCTCCATAAAGTTGGTCAGCAGCAGGAAGCATGAAGTGCTCTAAAACTTCCTGGTAGACGGCTACGTTGACCTTGGACCTCAGAAAACACAGTAGACCAACACCAGCAGATGACATGGCACCCCAAACCATCACTGACTGGAAACTTTACACTGATTCTGTGCCTCTCCTCTCTTCCTCCAGACTAAGGGACCTTGATTTCCAAAGGAAATTTACTTTCATGAGAAAACATAACTTTGGACCACTCAGCAGCAGTCCAGTCCTTTTTGTCTTTAGCCCAGGCGAGACGCTTCTGATGTTGTGTCTTGTTCAAGAGTGGCTTGACACAAGGAATGCGACAGCTGAAACCCATGTCTTGCATACGTCTGTGCGTGGTGGTTCTTGAAGCACTGACTCCAGCTGCAGTCCACTCTTTGTGAATCTACCCCACATTTTTGAATGGGTTTTGTTTCACAATCCTCTCCAGGGTGCGGTTATCCCTATTGCTTGTACACTTTTTTCTACCACTTCTTTTCCTTCCCTTGGCCTCTCTATTAATGTGCTTGGACATAGAGCTCTGTGAACAGCCAGCCTCTTTAGCAATGACCTTTTGTGTCTTGCCCTCCTTGTGCAAGGTGTCAATGGTCGTCTTTTGGACAGCTGTCAAGTCAGCAGTCTTCCCCATGATTGTGTAGCCTACAGAACTAGACTGAGAGACCATTTAAAGGCCTTTGCAGTTGTTTTGAGTTAATTAGCTGATTAGAGTGTGGCACCAGGTGTCTTCAATATTGAACCTTTTCACAATATTCTAATTTTCTGAGATCCTGATTTTGTGGTTTTCATTAGTTGTCAGTTATAATCATCAAAATTAAAAGGAATGAACACTTGAAATATATCAGTCTGTGTGTAATGAATGAATATAATATCCAAGTTTCACTTTTTGAATGGAATTACAGAAATAAATCTACTTTTTGATGATATTCTAATTATATGACCAGCACCTGTAAAGCACATTAACATCATGACCACATAACAGCAACAACAAGCATGGTTAAAAGAGAAATTAGCATTGCTGTCGGTTTCTCTGAGGAGGAATTCATTAAAAAAATAAATAAAAAAGGGGCAAGTTTTGATGTGTGAAAGTGGTTTGTGGTTATAAAGTGTCACATCAACACACAACAAACAACAGCAATATAGCAGCCCAAGAAGGGGACAACACAACAAACTTATTTCACTCATATCATGTGAGCAGAGTTTAACAGCTCATGTGAGGTCCATATAACAATCTATAGGAAGACTCCAAAACACACATTTATGTGTTTTATTAGGGGTCCAAGCCTGAGCGGAGCTGGAACCCTATTGTAATCATATTTGTTTTCATTATTATTCTTCTGCCGCTAAAACTGATACTGGGACGGTAACTGCTAGGGACACGAAACTACAGGTAGGTAGGTACAAACCCCTGCAAGTAACTCAGGCACAAAAATCTGCACACTTCTACTTCTAGGGGGCGCTATAAGCAAGGTCAACGCGTTTGGGCTTGGAACTCCCGCATACGTAGGCGGATATCAAAAACCTTATTTTCCCGCGTTCGGGGGTTCGAGCTGAATCTTATGGTATAGGCCACGCCCATTTCCGTCTATAATTTTTTTCCGCAAAAAATGCGAAAACTGAAAAGTCTATTTTAATTAACTCCTTTGAAACCGTAAGTCCAATTGGCACCAAAATCGACACGGATAATCTCTGGACCAAGCTGATTCAAGCTTTTGCTCCCCCGATTGATATGCAAAAAAAATTTTCCAATTATACGCTAACAAATGTTTGCGCAAAACACTAAAAACAGCAAATCATGTCTTATCTTCATTTTGGAATGGCCGATCAACACCAAACTTGGGGACAAATTTTATGTGGCATGCCATCCCGAGGGGCTGTGTGAAATTTGGTGTCAATCAGCCTCTAGGTGGCACTATTAATCACATATCAAATTACACTCCCATAGACATACATTCATTTTATATCTCTGTAACCATAAGTCCCTTACAACTCTGGTCATTTATTCACCACGGGGGCGGCTGGCGCCACGGGGCTTGGTCCCCGCTTACAACTGCTTGCAGTTCTAGTTTAATTCGATCCCAGTCCCAGTCTTCAGGCTGGGATCTATTTGGAGTCAGTTTGCAGGCATTACCCTACTCTATTCTACTTTACTCTACTCGTTGATAACATGTTTTTGACCTTGCACCTGCATGTGATGTACATATAAATTATGCTCCTTCTATCAGGTTTAAACAAACAAATGTAGTTTTTAATGTACAATTGTATTATTTCAAAGTGATGTCATCCAACTCTTGCAAAAACCTTTCAACAGCAAGATTTTGTTTTCAGTTTTGTTCCTGGACCAAAGGTTCCCGCCCAAACAAAACGCTTCCTGCTCCGGAGGGAGGACTTTCTGACTGCCCAGGAACTAGTCGCATAGAGTCTGCTGTATTGATCACAACTAACGGGTCAAACACAAGCCTCAAGGCTTGCAAATAAGCACTGGTGGTCACCAGAATTAGGACTAGAGATGGGAACCTGATTGGATGATGCAGCTGACCATAGAGAGACAGACAAAGCACCAACTTAATTTGCTATTTCTTTCGATGTGTTTATGTGCAGAATCTGTCAGCAGATCCTTCATACTGCCAGAATACAAAACATCCATTTAACTTTCAGACTACACCTTGACACCACATGCAATCTGATGATCTCTTTCAAATAAATTCTAAGCATTTCTAATGAAGCAGTGAACAAGCTGTAAAGTAGCTGTTTGGTGGGACAGATGCAAGTTTGGATCGCATCTACAGGAGGGTGAATGTGTTTTTTTAAGTCTCTTTGGATAAAAGTATCTACTAGTGAATGCGCTTTAACATCACAGTCGCACAAAAGTGAATTACAAAGAACAACAGGACAACTGTGTTATCGTGTTGTTCTTTGACAAATGTGTTGTCGTGCTGTGCTGTGGCTTTTTAATCCTTCATCATTCCAATTTGCCTAATCATCACGCCCCGTCAGATGCAGTCTAAAAGGGACACTTAGGTTTTGATTTAGTGCAACAAATACAAAAGCTCAGGCCACTACTGCTCACAACAGTCCCGACCAGACGCAATGCTGCAGCTGCACATGGCTCAAGCACATGTAAATGACTTCTTTGTGGGCCTTGTTAAATCATCAAAAGGGATCTGAAGCCAGAAAGGGTTGTTGTCTTTTCCCTACTCCCTACTCCACATTTATTTAATATACCAGTCTCTTCTGCATTGGAAAACCAGTCTCTCAGAAGTATATCGCATGATTGGAAAGACAAATAATTTCACTGCCAGAAGCAACAAGGAAACTTTTCAGATGCAAACAAGATATTAATGACCAATGTCGATGTTGTAGGAGGAGAATTCAACAGAATACACTCTTGTCCAGAGAGAGAGTCGTCCAATCAGCGAGTAATTAAGACTCAGTGAGGTTTTGTCTGTTTCTGGAACATTGTGACTTGAATTTGGCCAGAGCTGAATACATGTGATTGTGGAAGGATTCACCACTTGGAGAACAACAAACAACCTCCCTGAAAATTACAATCGAAGATGATGTTAAGGCAAAACAGACTCTGAATCAGCTCATATGCGGGGCTGATATCGACATAGCACAAAGGATGATAGCTCCCAGAAATATCAGTCAAGTTTGAATTTTAAATTACAAAACCTAGCTAATTAAGCTAACATTACCAGCTCAGTGAGTAAAAACAATTGTTTCTAGCTGACCTTTTCTGTTTCCAGCATATTAAAACATTTAATTAGAAAAATATACACGTGAGGGCTACATACGTTATCTCATGCTAAAAGACTGGGGCTAATGGTGCACGTAGCCGGAAAAACATCGGCAGTTCATAAACCACGTAAAAGAAATGGAAATTAAGAAACAGCTTTGTTCCTGGATTGCAGTGTACAGCTAGTTATTCCTTAGTATGATGAGGAAAAATTAAAGATCAGACTGTTCAGGCTAACATAGCCTTGTTGGGCTTCTTAGCATACAGACTTGGTTGTATTTTCACACAGTATTTTCCACTATTAATGTTTAAAGAGAAAAGGTTTGTAGGATACAGGCTTAACCATCTGTTTATCAAATGTAACTCTACTGTGTAATGTTAGCTGGGGTTGCTTCCCCAAATCCAATAAAGAGCAGAACTAACATTAGCCTAAACTCTAATAGACTCCAGGACCAGCCACCATAATGAGAAAATAATACACAGTGGACTTGCTAGTGTTTTTCACTATAACACCTGAAGACAGAATTTACAGCAGGGCTGTTGCAGTCTGCATTAGCTTTAGCTACAGTAGGTGTACCTAATAATATTTTGCAAAAACACATAAGAATTGTTCATCAATCAAAGGTAAGGCAGTAGAGGTCAGCACTCTTTTTAAATATGCAAATATAAAAGAAGAAGTTGAAGAACTCCTTAGTGACAGCAAACCTAATTAGGAAACCAAATCTACTCTCATTCAGTTCAGCGTTAAGTTTGTATGCTACCTGAGGAGAGGAGCTTCCGGCAGCAGTTAGAGTGAGCATTCAAGGCAGCCAGGTGGAGAGGGAACATGCCATGGACTCCTCGCCTTTGGAGAAAGATGCAGAAAGGAAACAATAGTCTCTTTTACTATAAGTTATTTAACACAAATTTCTCAACAGGTGAACAAACAAACCTTGTGCAGTCTGCTCCACTGGTGATGAGCGTGTTGATGAGGAGTTCATGACCGTAGCGGGCAGCAACGTGGAGAGGGGTGTTGCCGTCCTTGTCCACACTGTCAATCTCCCCGCCTGGAATAAAACGTTAATTTACAAGGAGAATATGCAACACTCGTAACTTTAAGAGACAAAAACAAGCATAAAAAGAGATCTCACCATTCTGGATGAGGGTCTGGGACCGACTGAAACGACCGTGAACTGCCGTCATGTGAAGAGGACTCTTCCCGTCCCGACTCTGAAGAAGGTGGAGGAGAAATAAAAGAACAGATTTCATGTTTTATGAAAAACACAGCCTTGGTTTTGAGAAACACAAGTAATTGCAGTAACCCATGTTGAGGATAGAGGTTGTCAATTATCTCAATTATTTCTTTACATATTTCCTTCCACAATTCATTTGATTATGCCTATATTGTTACGGGACTGTATGTAGCTGTGCTAATCAGGCCCTGATGCTATAATGCTTTTAACACACCAGAAAACAAAACTGTTGGATGGATAAAGAACTGACACAACTGTAAAGTTTGATCCTAAGGTGGCCACAGAGTAAAGACCATTTATATTGTCTTGTTGACATGCTTACCCTTCACTTGGTCACCCTTTGACAAGGTAACATCATATCAACAGTTTCATATTTACAAATCCAGCAGACACAAAGCAACATGAGCATTTATTTAAAGTCCAGCATTCACTCTCTTTTAGCTCTGTGTTTGGTCTTTACCAACTCCTGACCGAAGTATTTTATACTCTTATAGCTGCTAAATAATCTGCTGTGTTCACCAGTGTGTGGTCGTATGGGAGGCAGATGTTCAGCCGGCGTACCTGTACGTTCACATCAGCACCGTTGTTGACCAGGAACTCCAGACAGAGCGCTCCATGTGTGGAGGCGGCAGCAAAGTGCAGTGGGGTGAAGCCCTTGTTGTTGGGCTGGCTGACGTTGGCGCCATGATCGATCAGCTCACTCACGACAGCGTCCTGACCGTTAAAACAGGCCAAGTGGAGGGCAGTGTTCCCAAACCCATTAGACTCATCTATCTGTTGTTAGATTAAAAATAAGACCTGTTAGTAAGGCCAAGGAATGGGTGCGTGTGTTGTTAGCAACACGATGAATAAATGTGTGCAAGTTCATGTGTGTGTTTCTGAATGAGCACAATAAGTGCTTTTGTTTTAGTGAAAGAATGTGAAGTGTAGGAGTGTGTTTACACAGTCACATTGTGGGGACTCGCCTTTCTTTTAGGGACAAAACGCAAGTACCCATAATATAACTATTTATATGTTATATAATATAACATTTTAGGGCGAAGATTTGGTTTAAGGTTAAGGTTAGGCAAGTAGTGGTTATGGTTAGGGTGACAATAAATCTGCAGGAAGTGCGAAGTGCGTGTGTGTCCTGACCTCCACAGCCAAGTTGAGCAGGTGTTTGACCACAGCGATCTGCCCACTGGAGGCCGCCGTGTGGAGGGGAGTGTATCCCCGTTTGTCCTTACAGCTGATCTCCGCCCCCTGACTCACCAGCAGACACACCACATCCAAATGCCCTGCAGGACGTGCACCAAAGCGCACAAACCACAAACAAAAAGGGAAGAATCCGCTGTTAGACGAAGTTGTTTGTGGACTAGAAGCAAAACTTAAGCAGTAAATAATTTGCTCAGTCATCTGATTACAAACTGTGTTTGAGATTTTGAAAAGAAATTATGAACAGTACTAGTATAGCTGGGATGCAACTGTTATATTAATTTATTGTTCACACTAAATACAGTATATACACTATCTGAGGTGGAACATTCAAAACAATTATGATAGAATCTTTGTCAACAAAGTAAAATTAAGTAAAAGCTTTTTTCAGTCCTTTTTCCTTCACAAAATAAACATCTTAATAAAAAAAAAGTCCTAATTCGTTTAAGATTCAAGTGAATAAAATCAAACATTTATTGAATATTTATTGAACATTTGATATATTTCTATTGAAAAAAAATGATTGTGATAATTATTGTTATTGTTTTATTGTCCAGCCCTACAACAAATAATCAATAATCAAAAATATAGCGGATAAAATTTATGTCAATCAACTTATCCATTAAATGACTTATTGTTTCAGCTGTGGTTTATATTGTATGTTGGCACATGTTTTGTTTTTGCTGAATTTGTGTAATTACTTAAAGTTATTATTTCTAATCATTTAATTTTTCAGGGATGTCTTCAGGTCAAAATTTACTGTGATCCTTTTACAGTACAGTTTATTGTGCAACTGTAAAATATTCTGCCTCGGGAGATATTTTTATCACCATTCTTACATTACTCGTTTAAGGAATCACTGTGAGAAATATAGTTTTTTAAAAGCTTGTATAAATACAAACACGTTTTGTTACGCAAGTTTAAAACTACAGTTTAACTAAGCGACCCAACTTTGTCTGCTGTAGAGTTTGTCTGTACTTAATGCATGCTTCGTTCTGTCCTGTCTTGTTTCACCCTGCTCGAGCTCGAATGAATAGCCCCTCCGAATGATGATCTACGATCTACCTCCAGGAAATAAAGGCATCATGTGTGATCAGTAACAAACTCTGTCTTTGTCTCTTACCCATGAAAGCTGCCCAGTGCAGCGCCCGGCCATCCTTCTTATCGAAGGCGTTGATGTTGGCTCCTTTAGCGAGGAGGAGGTTTACCATCTGACGGAGAGAAAAACAGAGGGAGGGGGAAATTAGTGAGTGACGTAAGAGCTTTATATTTGTCTTTGTATGTTTGTGTCAGTTTGAGTGCGCGTGTGGGGGTGATGGTCTTTATATAACAGCATTGTAAATACATCTCTTCACTTGGCTCGGTTGTTGCATAAACACTCTGGATTTGGGTGGAAATAGAGAAGCCGTCCATTCAGCCTGGCTTCGGGAATCTGCCGCCTTCTCATTGTTAATTTTAGATTCAGCATATTTGTGAATGATTCCACCAAAGGCAAGAAGTGTTTCAAAATGCACAACCCACTTAATAACCCCCAAGATACAGCTGCACGCGCCCACCTGTTTCCTTTAACCAAGCTATTCCACCAAAATAGCACAAAGGACGGTTACATCACAGCCTGTTTATTGCTGAACTATACCAATATACTTCAGCAAGTAAAATGAGTGTTTTATATCTTTAAAGGTTCAGTGTGTAATATTTAGGAGGATCTATTGACAGAAATGCAATATAATAACCACAACTATGTTTTCAGTGGTGTATAAAGACCTTACATAACAAACCTTTGTGTTTTATTACCTTTACTACCCATTTCTATCTACATACCTCCTCTTACATGGACGTCGCCATGTTGCACCACCATGTTTCTACAGTAGCCTGAACGGACAATGCGCTCTATGGTGCGCTTTTCGTCACTACGTTCAATATGTACGGAGAAGAAGAAGAAGAACTGAAGATTGGACAAAGCTTCTCCGGCACGCTTGCAAAGGAAGAGGTGAGCGGTTGCAATTCACAACCCTCACCACTAGATGCCACTAAAACTTACATACTGAACCTTGATCTATTATATATTATTCATTTAATAAACGTGTCTGATAGTAAGTCAGGTAGTCTCTGCTGTACCTCAGTGTGACCGTTGAGGGCAGCGTGATGCAGGGCGGTGCGTCCGCCGCGGTCCGACACATTGACGCTACTCAGCAGCGGGATGATGACCTCAGCGCATCGCAGCGCGTTATTGGCAGCAGCAACATGCAGCGGCGTCTGCCAGTTCTTGTCCCGTGCGTTCACGTCGGCCGAGTGGCGGATCAAAACTCGCACTGCGTCCTGAGAAAGACAGTCAAAGAGATTGTGTTTTTATAGATAAATAACTCATTTACGTACAACTTGTAGGAGCCATTTTCAGTTCTTTGTATTTTTATTTGTGTCATTTATGTTTATACCTCCGACCACCACCTTTGCACATGTACAGATACACACAAGGATAGCATATTATATTTCTACTAATGTGTATATTTTATAAATTTGATTCTGACTTTTGATTCTACTTTCATTTACTCTCCATTCCACTGTGCTGCGGAGCCAATTGGAATTTGCCCTACGGGGGGATCAAACTGATAACTGATGAAAGATGCAATTAAAGTCACAGTAAAACGAAAGTTGGAGCTTAGCTTCTGTAATGTGACATATTTCTGAGTGAAACCGAAAATGTGTCCTTTACATTGTATAACTCAAAAGTGGGTGTGGCTCAGTGAATACAGTGCAATATAGAGCTGCAGAGGACTGTTGGCCTCCATACACACACCTCCCCCAACAGTGTTGCTGGATCAGGAGAACAAAGACATATTCACTTTATTGTGGAAAAATAGCTATATTTTTGATGGCTGGGAATTCAAATTAATTTAGAAAGTAATGGGCTGTAAATTACTCCCTTTTAAGTTCTAATTCAAAGTGTAAAATGTACTGTAATGTGTTATTCACACCCAAAAATATCCCACAATGGAATGAAGATTGTTATCAATCATGTACGTACACTGCTTTACTAAAAAAGATCCCACAGTGTGATACTTTGCCTTTGCTGAAACATGTAATTTACAGTTATGTGAATGAATGAATAAAGAAAGTAATTATATCAGACACAGCTTTAGACTAGTCACAAATACACCCCTTGATATAATTCCTACAATGCAAAACACAATTGTAAATGTATGTAAAACCCCTGCCACACCACTACAAGTCACCCTCCAGCTATTCAAGCCTTGTGGAATTACCTGTTTCGGCACTGGGAGTGATGCAGCTGATTTATTGCTTTGTGCAGATTCACAAAGCTGTCAAAGGGTAAAAGTGTGTGTGTGTGTGTGTGTGTGTGTGTGTGTGTGTGTGTGTGTGTGTGTGCACATGTGCGTGTGCACGTGTGCGTGTTCACCTCGCTCCGAGATGCCACAGCGCGATGGAGAGGGGTAAGCCACATACTATCTTTGGCGTTGACCCGGGCCCCTGCAGAGAAAAAAAAAACTAAAGTTTACCAACCAAAGTGAAAAGTCGTAGATACATGCATCAAAAAACAGTTGGTAAAATACACAAGCCTGCTGGTTTCACTGACTAATATTTAATACTTTGAAAAGATTTTTAATGCCAAATACAGTGAATAAAATTGCCATTTCATTAAGTAGAAGTTCTGTATGGCTGCTTTAAAATGATCATATGAAGAACAGCGCTGCAGGGTTGAAAACACTAAATTTTAGATTTTAAGATTTATGACACTAAATTTAAGATGTTAATCCTATATTTAAAAGAATATAACTTGCTGTATTCCATGCTACAACAACCAAACCAACAACTGATCCTTCTGACAAGTATTGTCTGTGTATCAGAAGCATGATCGCATCTTTGTGCCATAGAGCTCCACTGTCCATCCAGAAAATATATGTTAATAAAATAAATATATTAACACATCAATGAGACACACCTTCTATTAATCTGCAGCTGACAATAATCCCCAAATGAACTATTTACTCCTTCCACTGTAAGGAGCCAATGTCCTTGAGGTGCCACAGACAAGGCAGGGAAGTCAGAAAGTAATCCTTTCAGTCACTTCTACTTTCCCACGCTGTCAAACTCCCTTTCAAAAATGTATAAAATATTGTGCGACCCCCCACCATCACCACTATTACACCCACTGTGTCCGGGGAGATCCAACTGTTTGTGTCGAACAACCACCTGCTGGCTTTACTCCACCAGCACCAGCATTTAGACTCCAGAGGATCCTGTCCTTTCACCTGTACCATATCGGTCTACGCTTAATGAACCTTCTTCACACCAATGGAGTCTTTTTCTGTTGGTTTTTGGTATTGACGCGGAATTTGTTGACGATCACAAAAATAAACAGTAGAATAACTCCATATTATAAATATCATGAATTTAGGCAATTTAACATGAGACATGATGTCATTTTTTTTTTTGCCGATACTTTATAAGATATGTTATCATTAAAAAATAGCACATTTGCAGGCATTTTTCAAAACAAAGTCTTTGGATGAAAGATGGAGGGAGAGGACAACTCAGAAACGAGAGTAGACGAGAGGAACAAGGGAATATATTTTACCAGAGAGGATGAGGAGCTCGGTGATCTCAGCATCACCCAGGAAGGCCGCTGCATGCAGCGGGGTGCGCTTCTCTGCATCCTGAGGAGAGGAAGTCAGTCAGTTGGTACTTGCTTATAAAATTGACATGGTACAGTAGGATTTTAACCATTCATCAGCAGCTGCAATTATTCTAAGTTGCTGAGGTTTAACAGTGGGGTGGTTTTGATTCTTGTGTCAATGTGATACCGACACTAAAGCAACACTTTCAGTTTCTTTACTAAAAGAAGGTAATTTATCGCGAGGGAAATTGTTGCAGTATAAAGTGTGCAAATATAAAGAGCGCAAGTATTAAAATATCAATAAACATATATTCAAAATCAACAGAATCTGAGGTAGAGTACTTTCTTTGCAGTAAAAGCCAACAATCAGGCAAAATACGACCACATAACTTAATAACAATAAAATCTGACTGAACATTCAGTGATTTACTGTTCTTTTGATATTTGGCACTTCAGTAACAATTCCTACAGCGCCCGTGTCAGCTAAATGTCTACAAAGCCCTTTCACATTCACCGCTGGCTGGAATGTTACATGTCAGTAATCCATGAGAACATGCTGAGACCGAACAGAGGAGGCTGTGATATCGGTTCACAGATGATGAGCTGAGGATCAGTGACAGGGCCATCAGTGTCAACACACCCATTGTTCATCTCAGTCAGCTCTCAAACACACACACACACACACACACACACACACACACACACATCCCAGTGTCCACCCCACATGTCCGTGTGACTGGGCTGAGTGCATCCTCTCCAACAAAAACACATCCAAAGTGGACAATGACGGTGACGAGTCCTGTAACAGGCAGCCATCACCAGACTCAGGAGACTAAATACAGCAGAGAGAAGAGACCAGGGCTGCCCACATCCTCTTCTGCCCTTCTACAGACATTATGCATCTATACTATCCATATAATGTAAATAAACACACATTCTGAACTTTGGCTTTGCTGACTCTTGACCCTCCCGCACTTCCCCTTGGGTGCAGGCTACAACAGGAAGTGGGAGCTGAAGAGAAAGGAGGAGGAGGAGGAGCAGATGATTTCCACTGAGCCAGGTTTTTATTTTCCTAAAAGCTTATTTTGAGTAAAGGTGCAGAGGAAGACCAGTTTTTCATCGGCATGTAGATCTGGATTTGCGTAAAAATATTATTTTGAGTTTCAGAGAATACCTAAATCCTGTGTATAAATATATGCAGCTGTGGCACAAGCCGATTTCTCAGCGTTGATACCTTCACGTTTCATCTAAATTTGGTTGCACATCACCAAGACTTTAAGGTAACATATGACCTATCTACGGATGGCCATTGGATTCTCCAGACAAAACTAATTAAACACTTTATCTAATAAATATCTTCTTTTTTTTTTTTATCTTGTAATTTTGACTTAGCATCCCATTATTACGAGAGATGGATCAGTTACATATGAGATTTTTCCCCCCCGTAGTTACAAATACTGAAATTGAGATGTTAAATGAAAAATCACAAGCTTTTAAAGACTCCAAATCTTTTCATTTAGTTTGTATTGTCCAAGTGCAATAGTTTGCGTACAGCAAAGGCAGTGAAGAGGAAGACTATGAGCTGGTAAACATGGATGTAAACATGGGCTTTGCAAAGGAGAAGTTGAGATGGTTCGGGCATCTGGTAAGGATGCCCCTGGGTGCTTCCCTAGGGAGGTGTTCCAGGCACATCCAGCTAAAGGAAGAGGCCTCAGGGAAGACCAAGGACTAGGTGGAGAGATTATATTTCCACACTGGCCTGGGAACACCTCAGGATACCCCAGTCAGAGAGCTGGTTAATGTTGCTCAGGAAAGAGAGGTTTGGGGTCCCCTGCTGGAGCTGCTGCCCCATGCGACCCAACCCCAGATAAACCGTTGAAGATGGATAAATGGATCGGCTTTGCAAATGTTTCATGCGGAAGGATTTACACAAGGCGCTTTGATGGCAGAAATAGAACTTTTGCTGGCTTACAAGAAGGCTCCACAGGGCGTCTTTAAGTGAATGCAGTGCATATCCAAATATTTAAAACAAGAGATTAAGAACTTTTTGGGGGCTCATCTAAATTTAATTTTCACTATATAATAAAAAGTATGAATAAATATGCAAAACAAATTGTAATTGTTGATGTAAAAGTTTTCCAGGCCTGTTGGATTTCTATTAAACTAAATAATCAAGGTAAGAGTTTTGCTTTTTCACAACTTTGTTCAGGAGTTATGAGAGCTGAACTGTATAGTGCTTCAAATTTAGTCACATGGTGGCAATATCCAGACTGGAATATAATCACGTTTTCCTTTCACTAAAATCTGTTCACGACATTTTGAAACACTATGCAAAAACTTGTGGATCTTGGATGATGCCCGTAACAAGTGAAGACAAATTTAACCCCTCTGTCTTGATGTAGACTGTGTATGTGGGTATTACTCATGTTGTGGGGACATGAATCGGTTTACACAGTCACATTATGAGGACTCGCTGTCCTTATGGGGACAAAATGCACATAAACCATTAAATTTTAAGGGTGAAGACTTGGTTTAAGGTGCAGGTAAGGGTTAGGTTTAAGTAAGCATTGTTTAAGGTTAGGGTAAGTCTCCAGGGAATGAATCTATGTCAATGCAATGTGTGTGTCCTCACCAGAGCATTGATGTCTTCAGACTTGTATATGAGCATGCGAATCTCTTCAGGGTCCCCGCTGAATATCGCCTGGATGAGAGGAGGCTGGTGGAGAAGACAGAAGTGCGGTCAGAGTGGGAAGACATTCAACCAGTAAGACAATAACCAGAAGCAACGTGTAAGACATGCATGTGGTCGATTTTACAAAATGAGGTGTTGACATGACAAAGCAACATGTTGGGGGGAATATTTCCTGGACATTACACAAGAGGAGACCAAGCATGATCCTTCCCACGGTATATTGCTGTGTGTGTGTGTCTGTGTGTCTGTGTGTCTGTGTGTGTGTGTCTGTGTGTGCGTGTGCGTGTCTCTGTGTGTGCGTGTGCGTGTGCGAGTGTGTGTGCGTGTGTGGAGGAGCAGCTGCTTGATTTTAAGCTGCTGTGTTTACAAAAGCTGAAGCCGAGACGGCTACTACGAGACTGCAGCTTACTGTACTACTGTATACAAAAATGTTCTTTATTACAAACTCTCACTTCTTCTATGTGGACCAAAATATTTAACATGTTGTTGTAGAAGAATCTTTGTAGATAGAGATCATAGAAATGAAATGTCTTTGCAGAGAAAAAAAAGCTTTAATGGAGGGAAATGCACGGACGTAATTTCTCTGAAACCCTTATTTTCTTTCCTGGATCAGAGATATGAGGTAAAAAGAGGCCCTAGACACACACGCAGAGCAGCTTTCAGTGTCAGTCAACACTCCAGCGGTATGCTGTAAGTTTTAGAGGAACAGAAGCAGGTATGGGTAAAACAAAAATACAAAGCAACTTCTGAAACATCCAAAACAGATGAGAATGTTTAAAGTGGCTACAATCAAAAATGACAATGTGAAATGGTTTGCTTATAGTGAGGAACATAAAGAGAAATATCAGCTGAATCCGTAGCTCCCCCCTACTTTACAGAGCTTTATAGTGAGTTTCAGCTCATTGTTTAGCTGTTCAATCTGTGTCTATGAGTTGACACAGGTGAATCTCCCTCCAAATAAGACATGTTATCCATTATGATATTCATGCAAACTTAATGCAGGGATCTCTTTCATTTTCTATATTACAGCTCCATTACAAATGTCTCTTTTAATAATTTGATATGTGGGTTACTTCTATTACAGTAAGTCAAATTGGTTAAATGCAAAGCGAGATTTTGTGGGTTGTCAGTGCTGGAGTTTTGAAAACGATACCAATATTACACTGAACATAATTATGAATGCAACACTTTTGTTTTTGCCTCCATTCCTCATGAGCTGAACTTGCTCTATGTACACAAAAGCCCTATTTCTCTCAAGTACGGGTCTGCTCAACACCACGGGTATTGCACAGGTGTGCCTTAAGCTGGCCACAATAAAAGGCCTAATGATTTTGATCAAAATATAGAAATCAAATGGCAACCGGAGAGTTAGTGCTGGGTGATACAACTGAAAAGATTGATCAAGATTTAAATAAAGATATTTTCTCATGTATCAATTTATATCACAATATGGAAAACATATGTAAAGTCATATAAAAACCAAAGTGATGTTAAAAACAACCAACTGTGTTCCACTGTTATTCATTATATGAGACTAAACTTTTCCTATCTGTAAAATAAAGCCTTCAATAACTAATTTTTGTTGCTGAATCATTTGATTTGGATCCTTAAAGTCTGCAGAAAGATAACATACAATACAACAATACAATCATATCATCACAATATGATAATAATGATAAAAGATACAAAGTACACAAAAGTTGTAGTAAACAGTAGACAGCATGCAAAAATCACTGGTATAGTCCTAACACAAACTGAAGAGAGTCTCATCATTAATAATTAAAAACTCTAAAAGTGAATGCCAAAGCCTCTGCAGAGACAGAAATGTAGACTACAGGTTAGATATGTTACTGATGAATCAGATCTAACAGGCTTCACTTCACTTCCTGTGTGTTTCTGCCACCTCCTGCCTCACTTCCTGTTGCACAGTCTCTCCTTCTCTGAAACGAGAGAGAGAGGAACCGCAGAGGAGCGTTTCACTTCTGCTTTAAGAGCAGAGCACACATGTACGGAAAAAAAATGACAGTACTTCCTCGTCTAATTTTTTTCCCCTCTTGAGTTTGATTCTGGTGTAATGCCACATCATCATCATCTTACTCCAAAGCAACCAAGTGTTGACATTTTTAGACCTGGGTTCTGGTATCGATATCAAATTATGGTTTATATTTAGAACTTCCTTGGCATAGTGTGAACCTGTGAGTTGAATTGTTGTTTAATGTTGAAGCTGAAGAAGAACTTTACTTTGAAGAAATATAATGATGAGCCTCTACACTGACACACAAAATTATTGCTCCAGGCCAAGAAATAGTCTGACACATAACTCCCTATTAAAATGTCAAACTGCCCAAGATACAAAGTGTTAATTAATGAACTTTAGAGCTGCTGGTAGGCCGACTGTTTTAACCTTTGGACAGAGACAGGATAGCTGTTTCCCAATTTCAGTCTTTATGCTAAGCTAAACTATCCACTTGCTGGCTCCAGCTTAATATATACTGTACTAACATGAGGGTGGCATCGATCTTCTCATCTAACCCTCACCAAGAAACCAAGTAAGCATATTTCTAAAAATGTCAAACTATTCCTTCCACACAAAATATCTGTACAACTACTTTAGGTAATGGAATATATTTCAGTAAATCCTCTTTATGGTTTCTTTCTGAGAGTTAGAGGAGAAGATTGAAACCACACTCTGTTTGCTAACTATGCAGCTTAGAGGTCCTTACTGTGCATTCATGTGGTGTTGGTATAATCGGGGAAATTATTTCCAGACTGGGAAAATTTACATGAACATTATTTATTAGCAGTATTTGCAGTACAAGCAATATTTTAGTGATTTCAGGTAATGTACTGGTGCAGTAACAACTCAAATAACTTTGTAACAGTTTCAAACTGTTTCAGCATACTTGAATGACAACAATCCAACATGTCTTTGTAGTACCGTCAATGTTGTTTCCACATTTCGACTTAAGAGCACATGAACACACCAAAATCGGAAGGAAGAACTGGACAACTCGGGAAATGGGACCATCCGAGGAGCATATGAATGCACCATTAGCTTAGCTTAGCATAAAGACTGGACGAGGGGGTAAACAACAGCAAGCCTGGCTCTGTTTAAAGTTCAAAAATATGTCAACCATCACCTCTGAAGTTCATCAACTAACATGCTGTTTGTTTAATCTATACACTAACAATATAAAAGCAACCTAACGTTACTTTAGGTGTTGTAACTATTTCTTGGGGAACAGACCAGGTGCTGGCTTTCTATAGCCATCATGGTGACCCAGCAGTTGTTAATGAAGAAGCAGTTAACAGCGTAACTCCCTGTTTGTGTACAGATTAAACAAAATAGAATGTCTTAGAGTATTATGCGTTTTCATATTTCATTTTCTAAAGCTTGTTTCAGACAGAGGCTGAAATGCGGGCCTGCATGAAGAGCCAGTATAAGATAAAAATTATTTTTTTTTACTTTGAATCATGCAAAGCTGCCATAGAGGAGAGACAGAACTACAATATAGGGCTGAAAATGCAGTATAATAGGTAACCTTTAATTAGTGACTATCCACCTTCCAAGAGAGCCAGGCTAGCTGTTTGCCTCTGCTTCCAGTCTTTATGATAAGCTAAGCTAACCATCTCCTTGCTCTAGCTTCACAAGACACGAGAGTACAATAAATCTTTTCAACTCTCTGAAAGAAAATAATTGGCCTATTTCCCATCATTTTGAACTAGTCCTTTACTAGTCTAGTCCGTCCTCTAAATTTTGTAAAAAAAAGAATTTCAATCAGGCACTATCTGATCACAGAATAAGAAAACAAACAACCTTCAGGTACAGTTTTCAACACTGTGTCCTAAAGACATATTCCAGACGGTACCCAAAAAGTTCAACACCTTGAAAAAAAATATACTATGACTAAGAATGGGACCAAGACATCTGTGACATGAGTTTCTCCTCAACTCAAACTAAACTGGTTAAACAGGAGGGAGCAGGCCAGGTGGTTCAAACAACATCTGTCACTTTTTTAACTCTGTGAAACTTCCACCTGTTCTCGCACCAAGCACTGATTTCATGCAACCTAACAAAGTAGAAAGCACATCGCCAAAGAGAAATTAAGTGGGTGACAGAAAATGGAAGGAGACACAGAGGAAGCGACTGTCCCGTCGTCCTTGCCATTTTCTCCTGGTCATTAGCCATCCAGCATGTTTTCATTCAAGCCTGTTAAGTTCAGGTTCAATCAGTGTTTACTTGAGCAAAGTGATGAGAGATGGATGGAGGGCGGGAGGGAGGACACGTTTAGGGTGGTGAACGAGGCCCCTACTGGAGAGAGAAAGGGGGGCCGTGTAGAGAAGAAGCAGCCAACACTTGGCAGCATACGGCCTCTTTCACTATGCCTTTCTTTCTAAGTGCTCCACATGCACTCGTGCACACATTCTTGCAACATGCACGAAATCTCAGCTGGCAACAGTGCCTTGTCACAGCGCTGTGTGTGCGTGTGATCGCCATGTAGACTCTGGGAGACTGGTGCTAGCACAAGAAAGGCAACGAGATTTAGAGAGGGTGAGCATGAATGGGAGCCTTTCCTCAAACACATACCAGCCTCTAAACACAGAGAACTATTTTAGAATATGTAAAATCATTTTTGCCATTGACATTTGGCAAGACTTTTGAAGATGTAATAGAAATATGCTTGGGGCAGATTCTTTTACAGTGGAACAATAACTTTACTAAAAATTATATGACAATTAGCAACGGACCATTTGATAGAAACCTTGCCCCAAAACCGTAACTATGCACAGAAAGTCGGCTAAAAGTTAAAAGTTTTGTCTATCAAATCAAGGAATCACTGTTTCAAAAAAATACCTTGAATTTTCAATCTATAAATCTGCCACTTTTATCATTTTAAACTGCATATGTGCCATGTGTGAACAGGAAACCGGAGCCTCCAGGTCTGAAAAGTGAAGCCAATGACGAAAGTGCCTTAAACCATACAAATTAACCCGACTTCTCACCTGATTTATAACCTCAGTAAAACACTATTATGGTCTCAATCGCTAGTTTCAAGTCTTCTTTAATACTGCATGATGTTCATTTAGTAAATTATGGTCCCATTTAGAGGAGAATATACGTTAAAGTAGGTTATGCTTTACGCTTCAGCTCCCACCCTCACCTACAAATATGTTCAAATCTGGTTCCAAAAAAAAAACAATGTGGCGATGACCAAAATATCAAAGGCTTCAAAAGAGTAGTTTTCAAATCAATGTGTGATGTCAAGGTGGCCACGTCCACGTTCTTTTATCCAGTCTGCGAGTGGAACAGAGCCTTTCTCAACACTGTAGTGTGGCTCGCTTCATATGTTCAGATATATAATATTGTTATTTATTCAATATTTATGTTTTTAGCGAACGGACAGACAGCAGAGAGTTCAACTAGAAAGTTGAAAAAAATACTTTAGAAGAGAGTTGTGAGATGAGTTTTTGTGGATATGGATGAAACCAAGTTGCAATTACCAAAGTACCTGCGCTGCCACTCTTGTAGTTTTTTCAATGGTAGAAAAAGTATACAGATCTTTTACTTAAGTAAAAGTACCAGTTCAACAATGTAAAAATAGTCCTTAAGAAGGAGAAGTCCTTCATTGAAAATTCTACTTAAGTAAACATCCATAAGGATTATTAGCTAATTATACTTAAAGTATCAAAAGTACTGTAGCAGTGGTTCTCAATCTAGTGGTCTGGGCCTTCCAAATGGTAACAAGATAAATCTGAGGGGTTGTGAGATGATTAATGGGGCAGGATAGAACAAAAACAAAGCTCAGCTACACAAATGTTTTGCCATTTTGGGGCTTTTCTCCAGCCTAAGCTGTTCTCTTTTTGTGAAATAATAGATCATTTTACCTCTTTAGGCCTCAAACTGTTCTTCAACGATACCATATGAGAAGTTCAATGGAAATGCTAAAGTGACAACTGGACACTTCTATAATGTAAGAGGTCACTGGTTTAATATTTAGCGATGCTTTGTTTTTAATGAGCTCATAATCCTTTTATTTTTCAGAGAGACAGATGAAAGAAATACTGAATGAGAGTTTGCATTGAGTTGCACAAGCTAGGGGGACAAAGGTTAGACAGGAAGTGACATTATGACTTCAGCTCTCTCTTGTGGTTTTGCTGATGCATCAGCTCTGCTGCAGGTTATCAGAACAAAAATACTTTATTGATCCCCGGGGGGAAAATTCTTTTGTAACAATTGCTCACTTTTCATATCAAGGTATTCAGGAAATAAAAATAATAATATAAAGTAGGTGAGTAGGTAAGTAGACAATATAATGAAATATATACATCTAAAAATATAAATATAAAAGGAGTGTGGATATGTACAGTATTTTACAGTATTAACAGTTATGCAATGATAAATAGTAGTAGTGAATTAAATAGTAATAATGAGTTACTAGTACTACTTACTAGTTAGTAACAACATTGTTACTTAACAGTATCTCCAACACACACTCGATCTAGATAGATAGATAGATACACACGTGTGTGTGTGTATATATATATAAATTAAAAGCCATATGTTCTGGCTCCACAGGACTTTCAACAATCTTTGAATTTAGGTCTTTTTGCTCACAGTTTCACAAGCTACATTTGGGTTGATCCTTTTTATACAGTATACAAACTTTAACTTTGTTCTATATTATGTCATGTACAAGTATAGGTGACTCTGATTAAACAGTTTTGCTCTCAAATTCCCACAGTTACACATTCACACCTGGAAGTTGCCCAGTTCAATAACAGTCTGATCTGCTGGCCACTGAGCGTTATGGGTCTTGCTCAAGGGCAAGCGCTTTTTTTTTACCCTCCCCACCCAGATGTATCCTGCCTGTTCGCGGGACTGAACCAACGACCTTCTAGTCACAAGCTCGCTTCTCTGCTCACCTTTAATTGGCAGCTTAATGCTTGTTGTCCAATGCAGAGAAAGCATGATAAAATGAATAGAAACATGAAGCTCGTTAACACGTTAACATAAGCATAAAGGTTTGTATTAAATTTGCATGGGATCAAGCGAGCCACAACCATAATTTCACATACACGTACTATATCCAGCCACTGAGCTGTGTAACGTAGATTATATTCTGATTAAGTTAAAGTTAGAAACAATGGCATCTCACTAGGTAAAGGCTTTGCATTTACAGAGGAGCAAAAAGCAGTAAATTAAATATAGTTAAAAATTAGGCTAACTTCATTACAAATACAAATGGAAGCAACAGATCATACATTATTTAAAATAATGTTTTCATTTAAAACTAAGAAAGCAGCCATTTGTATTTGCAAATGACTTCATGTATGGGGTTCAACCGAAACAGTCTTGGTCATGATCCAGCTAACTGTCCAGCTAACAGCAAATTAGCAGGTTTTGGGTTTAAGGACTTTTTGCTGTGACAACAGGTCCAGATGAATTTTAAGCAGCTTCGAAGCACCAAAAAAGTCAAATCCTCAACACTGCAATGTGGATAAGTCGATGGAAGAAGATGCAGGTTTCCCTTCTCTCATTCTTATCCTACACAAACTTCCTCCATCGGATAACTTCTGTTTTCATAACACATGTCCCAAACACACACATATACAGTACATCCTGTTGTCCTATGTTTCCCTCCATAAAAGAAAGACTCTGCTCTGCAGCCATGTTGGAGGTGACAGGCCTCAAACTGTCTCGTCTCCTTACCCTCGGCAAGTGAATCGCTAAATCAAAACCTGCTATTCTGCATGTTATTACTCCCTCTGTCTCCTTCTCCCAACGCGCCTAAAATCATGAACAGAGGTCTGAATGATTCACCTGACAGACACAGGACGCAATAGAGGAAACCTTAAAAACGAGGACAAAAGGAGAAAAAACACCCACAGGAAATCTGATAAGCAAAATGGACATGCGCACAACCACTATAAAAACACACTCCACACACAGTAGTGCTGTGGCGGAAAGACATAAGCCAACAACTTCCCGTGATTCCTTTTGCATTCTGTTGGAAAGATGATGTTTCACCCTTCTGTTTCGTGCATGTTTACATTACTAGCATAAGAAATAGGAGAAAATGCTGCTTAACACGCAATGTGTGCTTATTTATTAAGACAAAACCTATGTAGACTGTTGACCTTGACCTATGGACGCCATCATTACCTGCAAGGTTAAACCACATCGTGCAGACTTTCATGTGACTCGCTCATCACAAAAATCTGCAAGCCACTGATCTGTCTGCTGAGCTGAGGCATCCAGTTATCAGGCATGATCAGCATGTTGTCTGAAAATAACAGGAAGTCCCAACGTTCTGAGTTACATAAAAAAAAAAAGAAGTTCTTCCCTTCCTTGGAGTTAACGACAGATCTGATATGACTGGACAGACGAGGCTGCGTCACGCCGGGGATATCTAGCAGCACGTTTCAGAGAAGCGAGTGAGTGGACTCTTCAGAACTCAGCTGCCTGTCGGTGCCACTTGTTCATGATCAGATTTTTAAAAAACCACGAGTTCACAGAAGTGAGACCAGAGAGACGGACTTATAAGGTGGCGCTGATAGTTTCACTACACATAACTGATCTGCACAGAAGTACCTTTACTGAAGTATTGTACTTGTTGGAGGTACTTTCTGTTTTTACTCTGCTACATCTCAGAGAGATCAGTTTGCTGAACTTGAGTAATGGAGAAAATAGCAGATTAATCCGTAAAGAAAATCATCATTAGTTGATACAAAAAAGTTTCTACATTGAGTACTTCTCATTTGTTTTAGTTATATTATTTTTATGTACATTGTTTTTTTGTAAACTGAAATTATTTAGGTTTTAGACTGTTGGTCGGACAAAACAAGACATTTTAAAGAAGCACTTATTATTTTACTTTACATTTTATCAACTAAACAATGAATTGATTGAATAGAACAAATTATCATTAGTTGCACAAAAATCTAAACCCTTTTAGATATTTTAACTTGATAATACATTCTTGACCTTGGCTTTCCACTGTATCACACAGTCTTCCTCAGCACACAGGAGCTACCCACTCCCCCTTTCTGTCATGATGATGTTCACATTTCCATTTTTGAACACTTAAAGTGGACAAACTTCCGAGGAGCATCATGTGATACAATCAAAAGCAGCTACTAAACAGACCTTGTGGGGAGAAATATGTCTCCTTGGCATAAAATCTTATCAGATTTTTGGTGTGCAGTTGGAGGTCTGTCATATGTAACACATATTTGAGCTACATGTTGCAGCACTGTGGATACACAACCCTGCATTTAGCTGCAGTTAATAAATCATCAACGCTCAGGCTTGCGGAAGGAAACGGAGCAGGAAGTGTGCGAGAAGTGGGCTTGTCCTATTTTTAACGGAACACCGAAAATGTTTAGCCATAAACGACAAAAGCAAAAATGAAGATGCATTTGAAACGAGCAGTTTTCCCTGCAGATTAATGACTGTATTCTGGTCACAGTCTGCAGGAGGGACGTGTTTTTAAATCAGCTGTGTTTGACAAAACGCCCAACACAAAGCCGAGATATTAAAAATAAATTTCGGCCAAACAGACGCGTTAAACGCTGGCTGTTTGGAGGCTAAGCTAACAGCAGCTAGCAGGTCCTTCCTACCTGGTCGGCCAGTTTGAGAACAGCCATCTCTGGGTCAGCTCCGGCTGCTCATCCACTCCCTCCGACACCGCAGCACCGTACACGGTGCGATGCTGCGCCGCTCCGCCTCTACTTTCTCCGGTCTTCCCGCGGGACTTCAGGGGACAGGATGTAGCAGCGCGGCCGCTTCTCGTAGCTCTCTAGCGGACGATGATGATGATGTAGGCCGGGGCGAGCACCGGGACCATCAGCCCCGCTCCGCTGACACTATCTGCGGGGACGCAGCTGAGCCGAGGCGGCCGCGTTCGGTAGTCGCAGGGAGGCGGGGAAGCAGGAACGTCTTGACCCTGCGGTGTAAACAATCCACATTTACGGCTGCTGCTGCTGTTGCACCGGCGTCCCAGGCGTCTCTCCGAGCCATACACCACCCACAGAAGCCTCCCTTCCTCCCCGGTCTGCAGAGCCACAAGCCTCCCGGAGAGGCAGCCAGGCTGAACTCAGCTGAACGCAGATCGACACAGGAAGTCGGCCCCTGTCTCTCCTCCTCTCAGATGCAGAAGTGGAGGAGAAGCTTCCTCAGCATCAACAACAAGCAGCACCCCCTCGCTGCTGCCATCAGCTGGATGCACAGGGACTAAAAAATGTTAAACTGCAACGTGCTGGAGTCAGAAATCATAATGCATGAAACATCAAAAGTACACCTACACAAGCTATAATTAATTCCGCATGATGATGATGATGATTACACATATTCTTTATTATTCTTTTATACATTGTATTGTTTGATACATATACATATATATATATGAAACAATTTTAAATATGTCACTTAAAATTTTATGTCTAAACATTCTGAATTAAGCTGATTTTGATTTAAACTTTATTTTACCCCTCAACATTTATTTGACACTTTGAAACATAAGATATGATGCAGTATTAAACTACTAATGTGACATTTTATGGACCAAACAACTAATCGATTAATTGAGAAAATAATCAACAGATTAATTGACTATGAAAATAATTGCAACCCTACTTTGAATTCTGCTCTGAGAGACTGAACTGGCTTAGGTGAGGATAATGTCTGTCTGTTTTAAAGGGTCATACCACTGTTTTTGCATGTTTTGGCTACATAATGTCTGTTTTATGTGATCAGTGATATATAATAATAATAATAAATTTTACTTGTAATGCACTATATATTTAAAACAAATCTCAAAGTGCTGCTGCCCTCCATTTAGGAATCTCAGGACCAGAGTCAGGAAACAGGCAGAAAACATTAGATCCATCACACCCCATTCCAACTTCCACACACATATATAAACATCATGTTCATCTAAATACAGACTGATAAAGAATTGGTCCAAGAACAAAACACCAAACAGCAAAACTTTTATTCTCTTCTCTTCCACCATCAGAAATCCACAGCCATCTCCTTCCCACCCTATGTGATTTTCATACAGGAAATTAATAGAAGCTAATAGCTGCTGGGAGGAAATTAAAATGCACTTTGAGCATGTAACACACTGTGCTGGGTTTATTAAAAAGTTAACATGTATAGTATGTTTTATGGGAGTTTGAGCAAATGGCTTAAAACTAGAAGAATGACCCTTTAAGAAACAGAAAGTACAAATTAAAGCTTTTAAAAGTTTGTAGTTTTCATGACCATGTACTTTCCCACCACATCGCTGCTCATGTCACTTCATGTACACAAAGTTTCACTGTGGAAACATCTCTAATCACAGTCATCTCCCCGGGGCAGGTTGTAAAGGAGAGCTTTGCCAGGTTACCTCCCAGTGTTGACTCAACAAACCCACACACACACACACAGCATCAGAGACACCACCATGTTTTCTTCATGGTTCATTGAGATGCATTCCAGAAGTTATAAGGGAAAGAAACTGAAGAGGCTCCTTTTGGCGTCTGGGACATAACATCATGAGGATGCTTTTTAGCCACGCTAGCAGCAGTCCATCTCTGGGTCGGTCGGTGCACCACTTCGGTCCAGTCTGAAATACCTCCAAGATATATTTGATGGATTGCCATGAAATTGAATACAGACATTCATGGTCTCCAGAGGATTAATTCTTTCTGACTTTAGTGATGATTTTTCACTTATCGTGTGAAACATCTCAACCTTTACCACAGGGATATGGTACAGCATTTTATACAGCCATTAATGTCTCCCAGATGATGTATCCTAATGACTTCAGTGATCCCATGTGGTTTGGAGTGGAAATGTATTGCACTTTTGGACAGATTTCCATGAAATTTG